TCATTGCTATTTATTTTTGGAAATTGGAATTATATGTTAATGAAAAGAATACTGGGATTTGGGAAAGATAGAATTTTGAGTTGAACTATATTTCATGTTGTCATATTATTGAGATATTTTGATTTCACTTCATATCTTATGTTTTTTATGTTTTATATTATTCAATCATTAGTATATAAAAAATTTATCATTTTATGTTTACGCAATCTTTTGATTTTGAGGCTTACGCCTCAAAACGCCTTGAGGCTTACGCCTCGTCTCACGAATGAAAAACGCCTCAATACCCGAATACGCAATTTTAAACATTGTTTAGGACTATCCCTTATAAATGAAACAACTTCTTCCATAAGTGGCTAAAGAACACCGTCTTTGTCTGACACAATGAATTTTTGAAATCCATGCAAGCGCACCATTTCTCCTTTGAAAATTGTAGCCACAGAGACCGTTGTGTAAGGGTGCTTCGGAGGGATGAATTATGCATATTGCTCAGATGATCCATTACTACTAGTATCATCGAAAATCCTTCGATCGCGGAAAACCCTCAATGAAATCTATCATCACCTCCTCGCACACTCTCTCAGGCAGAACTAGATGCTGTAGTAACCCCGTTGGCATCATGGCTATGTACTTATGCCTTTGGCACACATCACATATGGCCACCCAATTTTCTAAATCGCGGCGCATCCCAACCTAGTATAATTCTATTGGCAATTGACTGTAGGTTTTCTAAGCTCCTGAATGCCCCCCAATTGCATTGCCATGAAACTCATGTAACAGCTTGGGAATGTATCCCAATCCCGTTGGTAAAACGAATCTTCCCTCATGTAGCTGTTGGTCTCCTCTCAATGTATAATCGGGATGACTATCTAGGTTATGCGGCTAATCGACTCTGATCTTCCTTAGTTCTTCATCATGTTCACTTTCTTATTTCAAGGCTTCCTAATCTGAGATCATGGTTATTGATAATGCTGCTAACTGAGATTCCTCGACTCTCTTAAACAAGGCGTTTCTTGCTTTGTTCTCTAAGCCTGATTAATACTAGATCTCAATATCATACTCAAGTACCTTGGATAACCATCTATGATGCTACTCCATGACCATTCGTTGTTCCAACAAATACTTCAGGCTCCTATGATATGTTCTGACTATGAAATGTTTTCCCAACAAATAGGGCCGCCACATCTGCATAGCCAAGATTATAGCCATTAGCTCTTACTCGTACTCAGATTTGAGCCTTGCCCTACTGTAATAGGCTGCTGATCCTACATGAGCACTGCCCTCAGTTTGTATCTGAATGCATCTGTCTCTACCACAAATGGTCTGCTGAAGTCAGGGAGTGCTAACACTAGTGTACGGGTCATCACTTTCTTCAATTGCTCGAAAGCTTGTGTTGCTGCCTCTCCCTATTTTAAACTATCATTCTTTAGTTGCTTCGTCAATGGCCATGCTATCATGCCATACCCTTGCACAAATATTTGGTAGTACTTGACGAGGCTTATGAATTCTCTCAGTTTCCTCAGCTTCTTAGGCAAAGACAATCTAGTATAGCCTCAATCATGGACTAGTCTGCTGCTACCCCTACTTTGCTCACCACATGTCCCAGGTACACCACCTGTGATTATGTAAACGAGCATTTCTTCAGGTTGGCATACAGTTGATGCTCCTTCAATGCCTCAATACCATCCTCAGGTATCCTACATGCTTTGCTTCCGTGCGACTGTAGATTAAGATATCATAAAAATACTAATACAAACTTTTAGAGTTAGGGTTAAAATACTCGATTAATTAGGGACTAAAAAATGGTTGGAGCATTGGTAAGGTAGAAAAACATCACCAAAAACTCATAGTGACCCTCATAAGTCCTTAAAGCAGTATTGTGCACATTTCCTGGCTTCATTCTAATCTATTGGTACCCTGACTTCATATCAATCTTTGAGAAGATGACCGTCTCAAATAGTTCATCTAACATCTCATCAATAACGGGGATAGGATGCATGTTCGACACAATTTACTCGTTTAGGGCTTTATAATACATGCAAAACCTCCAACCGTCTTTCTTTTTCACTAGTAAAATTGGGCTAGAAAAGGGGCTCACACTGGGTTTAATAATTTCTTCCTATAGCATTTCCCTGATGAGCCTTTCTATCTCATCCTTTTGAATCTGCAGGTAGTGGTAACCCAACCCTACTCCCTTTATCCCTTTGACCATGATTTTGAGTGAAAGCATAGTTCTGCAGAGGCTAGCGTCTCCCTGCAGCACCACCTTCTCCCCCTCCACCTGAATCTCCATAGTCAACGACTTCTAGTGCACCTTGGTCTTCCCAATCATATGTAACCACTTCATTCCTAGGATCACACCAGTGCCCCAATTCTAAGCGAAGAAAATCTTCCATTATCTATATGCCTTGGAGTGTCAATGCCATTCTTCTGCAAATCCCCCTTCTCCTCTTTATCTTTCTTGTTCCCATCAACTCCAAAGCTTTCTATATTCACCAGCTTCAATCCCAACTGGTCCATGAGTTGGTTGGATATGAAGTTATGAGTAACACTACTATCCACTAAGATCACCATGGGTTGCTCACCGATCTGCCACCTCACCTTCATGGTGTAATTAGGAGTAAACCCCACTACAGAATTTGAGATACTTCGAGCACATCAAGGTGTAGGTGCTCCTGTTCTTCTTCTGCTTCCTCCAACAAATCCTCATTGTTAGTCTCCTCCTCACAAACCAGAAGACTTGGAGTGTGCAGTACTTGCACCGATGATCTAGTGCATATTTCTCATCACAACGATAATATAGGCCCTTCGCTCTTTTGTTATGCACTCTGCCTCTATGAGGCGCTTGAAGTTGGCATCGGGTCGAACTCCCCACTCTTCTCCCTCGGCGCCTCCCGCTGAAATGATATTGTCTGGGTCCTTGGTGCCAAGGTCATAGAGGTGTTCGTGTAAGTCCCTCCCATGGTGCTTCCCTGAATGGTCTTCTCCCTATGATGTTTTTCTTCTACCCTTTGAGCTAGCTTCCTCATCTCCCTCAGTCCTCTAGGCCTCAACACCCTGTGTTCCACTCTTATGTTTGCCATAATCTCTTCGTGAAATTCTCTTCCAGCCCTTCTTATCAAATTCTCCTCAGCCTACCTGACAACAACTAATTCTCCCGATACTTTACGACTGTCCCCTCTTAAGATATAGCATAGAAACTACGCTAGGGCTTTTCCATCCAAACTTAAGACCCGTCGCCATGAGTTTTTCTGTTTTCGTCAGCCATTTATAGCAAAGTAACGCTCCACCCGATACACCCAACTATGGACGTCTTCCCCTTCAAATATCGACATTTTTAAATTTTTTTGATCTGCATCCATACCCCATTGATTTCTCTATCTGTTAGTTCCTCTCGTGTAATGATCGGTGTGATTCCCTCCCTTCTTCCCTTGGTGGATTTAGATCCCGGCCCACCCATTGCTTCCTCTTGTCCACCTACCCTCTTGCCTGGGTGTCTCCAAAAGGGTACCCTTTTCTTGCTGACCTTTTATTGGGATACCCCATCAAAAGCCCCCATGGGGGTCTTTGAGAGAAAACACTCTCCACTTCATCTTCGTCCTCTTGAACTTTCTTCCCCTTCAAATCATCCCTAGGAATAGCTGAGGAAGCTTTCGATTGCATCTCGATCAACTTCTTCATCATGTCTTTCATGTTCTCAAACAATTCTCCATGGATGAAAGCATTCCTTCCGCAGTTGTGTTCTTCTCCATTCCGGAATATTTCTCTTCCGTTCTAAAAATTTTCTCCTCCATCCTAACACTGATTTGTTCCATCTCTCCTTCCAATGCATTCATATACTTGCCTACCATTTACCTCGCTCTGATACCAAATTGTTATTCCTTGGAAGCAAAAACAATGATAGAATGATAGAAAATTTGTAGGAATACTTAGAATAGTGACTGATTTTCGATTATAACTCAATACAAATGTAAGATGTAGTTAATCTACGATTCCAGAAGTAGATTGGCTCTCCCAAACGACTTAGATGCCGGTAGGAAGCCCTCAAAGAAAAACTACAGCAAAACCAAACCAAAACATAATGAAAATAATCAACATTACAAACCCTAAATAACCTCTCCCTAATTCCCCTAAAAACAGCCCACTTTCTTTAATTATTTCCCTCTCTTATTTGCATTCAATTAGGAAATCTTTCCCTAAATTATTTCCTTCTTATTCCTCTTCCTAACATTATAGATTATTTCTTTGCTAGGCCCCACAAGGGGGGCTGAAATCCTCTGTTCCGGATTCTGTTGGATCGGCCCTTGCTGGGCCAGTTGGCTGGTTCTGATTTCTGCTGGACCCGTCATGTCATTAACTCAAAAGACTGGTCTGACATATAACTCAGAAGGCTTTTTTTTTTTTTAAAAGTGCCAAGCTCAATTGACAAAAAAGCTTGATGTAAGAGCAGTAAAATCTATTAAAAGCTGGTTTAATGTGGATTCTAAGGTTCTTTATAAGTCATAATAACACTTGCCATAATCTACATGCTTTCATAACATAACAAAAGTGTTGCCGTGCGAGAATTAGAAGAAGTTTTTTCTTTATTGTAGCACATCTTTGTTCTTAGATCGCTCCTTTTAAATCCTTTTGCTGATTGTAAAAATTTATGTATCGATTTGGAGTTTTGAAACAGATGGATATCTGTATTTGCTTGCTATTAAGTTTTTAGGACATGAAATGCTAGCTGAAAGTTTGTTCAGAAGCATTGTACTTTCCATATTATGAAATTAGAGTGTATGAGGATTTTTATCGGATATACAGTCTCTTACTTGTCATATATCATGATAAATGGTAAATTACATCCTTTGAAGTTAAGATGTGATGTCAGCAACCGTGCATTTCTTTTCAGCATGTTAAGTTTGGTCTTGTAGTTCATTTCTTAAAATTTATCGCATTCTGTGAAATAGTTTTTTCTGTTCAGTCTGACACCTAAAATTTTAAGATATTTTTGGTTTCTTTAGGAAATACTTCACAAGGGGCACGGAAGAACATGCATAATAAGGATTCAACATTTCCTACTGGGTTTGAGGTCCAATTTCATGTCCTTCACATTTATAAAAATTTATTAGATATACTTCCAGTCATGTAATAATGAACTTGTTTTCTTTTGAAAAGCTTGAAATTTATCTTGGAAAATCTTTGATGAAGAAATAATTTCTCTTCAAGTTGTTTGCTAATGACCCAAAAAGATGAAGAAGGAAGCAACTTTCAAGGCGTTCATTTGAGCTTGTGTGTGTGGGAATTATAAAGGTCTCTATCTTATCAATCACAATTTAAGATGCAAAGCAAGAGTCTTGAGGAACCACAAAAACTTTGCATTGGAGTTTTCGGATAAGCTCTGATTGATGTGATACTTTTGATACTTTTAAGCTAGCTTTCAAAGGTCAAATTGACTCTTAGAACTCTTGAAATAGTCAAATTTGGGCCCAAAGGAGCTAGAATTGGCCCTACCAAATTGCCTTGACCATGCACACACTAACATAGCAAATCTAGGGGAATGTCTCCACTACATACATTTATTGTTGAGCCAACAACCTGTCCATTGAATTGTCCCCAACAAGAAGCACATTCATTTGTCGCTATCGTTGAGCTCCCAAATGGTTAATGCTAATTCTGAGAAAAATAAATATTATTTGAATTTTTGGACCTTCTATGCTCCAACTAATCTCTAGCCATTTTTGTACGACCTAAAATTTGGACCAACCTAACTATTATGCATGAGGTTCACGAGAGAGATAACTTGGTCAAACATTGAGAAAAGTCTATATTAGCTTAGCTTGACTAGATTAATTTGATAGAATGTGGTTGGCTAACCAGATCACCTAACTCCAACTATTGGCTCAAGGAAAGGGCAATTGGCCTTGAGAGGTCATCCATAAGGTGGACTCTAGATCTGATATGGTTGAGTAGAGCGAAACCAGTGGGAAGATCCTTGGGTTGATTGCATTTTAGACAGTGCACATCACACATCGAAAAGAATAACCAAATAAAAATCTATGAAGTAGACATAAAAACATAAAATGAACTAAAATAATATAATTTGATACATCAATTCTTATGGCTGACAAATTAAACAATTATATCGAGATCCTTAAAAACATTGGTTCCATAGTGGAGGTTGTGTCTAAACCTTCCTTATTAGCAAGATAGACTAACAATCACTCAGGAGCCATTTGATCCATCAACTTTACTTGAGAAGACTCCGATTGAGCCTATCAACTTGCTCCCATCCCCTCCTTGTGTAGTTTTTTTTACTAAATGTGTAATTCAATGGGGTAAGACATTTTTTGTGGAAAATTAATGCTAACACACGTAAACATAACAAGCACAGGGATAAGCTCAAGATGAATGTAAATAATTATATAATAGGTTAAGTCTCCATCTATTTGTCTCCTGAACACATTTTGATCCTCAAAGGTTGTCCATGAATGCTTGATGTGTCATTTAGACCATTACCGTCATGAAGGCTCTATTGTGATGAAGAATAGCCATGAAGGCCCTACTATCGGAAGACATGTCATGAAGGATCTAGTATCACGAGCTACAATGAAGTCCTTGCTAGTAAATAAGACCAACATATCTATGAAGGCCCTAGTAAATCTAATAAAGAAAGCTCATTTCTAATAATTTTTAACTGAATCTTTTTAAATCAACCTTTACCTTTTTTAACATAAACAATATCTAATTCATCTACTCTCCTAACTGGGTCATCAGAAGGTCAACATTTTATGTGACCAAACCATCTATATGATTTTCTCTAATCTTATCTTCCACTGGAGCTACTCTAACATTTTCACGTATATACTCATTTTGTATTTCATCTCAAAAGAAAATTCATTTATTTACTTGAGCATCCTCATCTCTATAACACATCTTAATTTTATGCTTCTCTTTTAATTGCCAACATTCTGCACCATAAAGTATTGTAGGTCTCACAACCAACTTATAAGAAATTTCCTTAACTTTGAGGGGTACATTTTTATCACACAATATGCCCGATGTATTCCTCCACTTCAACTATCTAACTTGAATGTTATTAATAATATCCCTATCTATTTCATCATAACTTTGGACAATAGACTTGAGATCACAATGCCCCCGCTATATCTATTACAACTAAAATTATACTCCATGTATTCGATTTTAGATCTACTTAAACGAAAATATTTAGATTCAAATGTTGACCTCCGTAATTCAACTTTTCTTTCAACTCCCTCTCCGATGTTATCAATAAGAAGAATATCATCAGCAAAAGCATACACCAACACACATCCTCTTAAAAATGGTAAGTAAGAACATCCATGATTCAAGCAAAATGATAGGGCTTAAAGCTGATCTCTGATGTAATCCAATTGAAATAGTAAAATACTTGGTCAAACTAACTTATGTTTGATCGCAACTCTGCCGTTGCCAGGTCCTAAGCCTTGGATAAGAAAAGTGGATAGTTGCATAGGTAGTCGGAAGGCAGTGTATAATTTTTCGAACAATCATGACATTAATATAATCAAACAAAAAGTAATCCATATCAAAATAAACCAAATAATATAGGGCATGCTTTGAAGTTCTTAAGAATCATTTGTGTTAAGAAGTGACATTAATTTTAAACATTTCAGGTTCCACAAATACCTTCAAAATATCTTAAAAAGGAGGATTTGTTTTCACACTTAAATTGAGTGGAAAAAATTTCAACACTTTTTAAAACATGATTTTCATGAATCAAGTAGCTGAAGGAGCCCTTAGTTTGGTTAGATTTTGCTATCTCAACGAGCTGTCAAGAGGATGAAATTATGTCCATATAGAAATTTGTCATGCTTCAGCTGCACTTAGTCGTTTTGTAGGCTTATGTTTGCTTTAAACAAGCATGACCTGATGCTCGACTTGCATGCTAATACGATAAAATCATGGATTTTGCGTCGAAATTGGTCAACATGTGCCTAATTCCTTTTGTTAGGTCACTTAGATAGGTTACGTTGAGTTAAAGAGGTTGCATTGGCTTTTGGCACTGAGTCATTATGTCTTGGCTTTAACTATTTTGTATGGGCCTCTTATTAGGAGACACGAGTATTCTCATCTGGGACAGTTTAAATTGATCAACTGTTTATCAATGTCAATGATTTGATTTTTTGTGTTAGACTTTGGTTCATTTTACTAGTAGAGAAATTGCTTTTCCAGATAGACCATCAACTTGCTCCCATCCCCTCCTAGTGTAGATTTTTTTGTTAAATGTGTAATTTGATGGGGTGGGACATTATTAGTGGAAAATTAATCCTAACACACAAACATAACAAGAATAAGGAAAAGCTCAAGATGATTGCAAATAATTATATTATAGGTTGAGTCTCCATCTATTTGTCTCATGAGCACATTTTGATCCTCAAAGGTTGACCGTGAAAGCTGGATGTGTCATTAAGACCATTATCATCATGAAGCTCTATTGTGATGAAGAAGATCCATGAAGGCCCTACCATGAAGACCTGTCATGAAGGATCTAATATCACAACCTTACAATGAAGCCCTTGCCAGTAAATAAGACCAGCATTTCTATGAAGGCCCTAGTTAAGCCACTAATATCAGTTTTGTCGAAAGGACTCTAATCTAATAACAAAGATAATGCCGCAACGAAGGACCAGTTATGAAGACTTCTACACCACAAAGTCCTTACTATCACTAAGTCAAGTGATGAAGTTATGACCATCAACTTGCACCCATCCCCTCCTAGTGTAGATTTTTTTGTTAAATGTGTAATTTGATGGACATTATTAGTGGAAAATTAATCCTAACACATAAACATAACAAGAATAAGGATAAGCTCAAGATGATTGCAAATAGTTATATAATAGGTTGAGTCTCCATCTATTTGTCTCATGAGCACATTTTGATCCTCAAAGGTTGACCGTGAAAGCTGGATGTGTCATTAAGACCATTATCATTATGATGCTCTATTGTGATTAAGAAGATCCATGAAGACCTGCCATGAAGGATCTAATATCACAACCTTACAATGAAGCCCTTGCCAGTAAATAAGACCAGCATTGCTATGAAGGCCCTAGTTAAGCCACTAATATCAGTTTTGTCGAAAGGACTCTAGTCTAATAACTAAGATAATGCCGCAACGAAGGCCCAGTTATGAAGACTTCTGCACCACAAAGTCCTTACTATCACTAAGTCAAGTGATGAAGTTATGACCATCATTATATCTGCTTTAGTCATCCTAGTTATCCTTGAGGTAGGGTATCCTCACTGGTTCGATTCATTTGGCTACCGTAATCTGCCTACATACATTGCTATGTACATGTGCCTTTTGATCTTCTAGTCTCATGGTTTCAAGGTCATCTTAGCATGTACTTTTTATTGCTAGCATATCCATGTCATATGCCTCATCATTTAAGCATATTGTTAGACATGTTAGTAAGGAAATTGTCATGTTGGACCTTAGTTTCCCCTCACCCTACTACAGGCACGATGTGTTGGTGTTGATCCTCTTGCTCCCATGTTCTTGAGGCTTCACTTTGCTTCGCCTCCCCTAGGTACATGGGTACCTCATAGAACAATTGTTTCACCACCAAAAACTTTACCTCCCTTATATAGGCATTGATGATGGTTGTAGTTCTTAAGCCAACTATGAATCTCCACGTCAACAGATTAATTAGTCAGTACTTCAGCACATTTTATCCCTTTAATGGATCTTTTGATCGACTACTCTGAGCTGGTTCAAGGAGCAAGATGCTGGTAGACAACCTTTGCCAATTTGGCTCTCTTTTAGTTGTACGCATGGAATCTTCATAGCAGTTATTTATCAAACCATTGTGAGAAAATCAAATCACAAAAGGTGACTTTGCACGTGGAAATGATGAGGGTGTTAAAATATTTCAATGGTTGTTTGAGTGGTGGTGGAAGGTTTAGAGTTGGTGAAAAACTAAGAAAAGTGTTGAGTGGTTTAGGATTTTTTATCAGAATTATTGTTGAAACTTTTTGCAATACTTAGTTTTTTATTGATGGAAAAGGATGCCGACCTTTAGATAAAAGACT